CACAGTAACTTTCTTGCCTTGTAAGTGGTATCAGGAAGTGTATTCCCTTCGGGCAACATCTTTTGAATAATGTCAATAACTCTGTGAAACTGACATTACTCCATCCATCACTAGTCCAAAAACTGCATTTTATAACCAACATTTTATATGGGTTAGTATACAACCGTGATAGTATGTAGGCGCGGGGTTAAAATTGCAATTTTTGAAAGTTTATACCTTACGTTGGGCGTTAATAATACACACATTCTATAACGGATAGTAAAATAACCGAAGTTAAATATAAAAACGGGGTCATATTCATAATATTTCAAAATGTATGCAGGTGAAACGGGGTTCATTTTATAAAATTGAAAACTACGGAGTATTATTAATGTCAGTGAGATATGTTTCCCCTTATTAAAAGTATTTGATTTTTATTCTGACCGCCTGAGTCCTGACCTACGACAAAAAAACAAAGGATGAAAATTTCCCGCTCCTGAAGACCTAGCGGAGCTACAAGAAGATGTACGGTGCTGCAATACTCGTCCTCTAAGGTGACTTCCGGCTGCTCCTTCGCCAGTGATGACGCTCTATCCTCACGCCAAATACCGTATCATTACTCGTCATCTCTCTCCTTGTTGCCTAGCGTCGGTTCCACATCAGTAGTTATCAGTCTCTCCTCACCGTTGAACGTCATGTCCACATCCGTTGCAGCGGGCTCTCTCATCTCTGCAGAATTCCGCTTCTACATCTGCATCCACAGACTCAATCTACAACATATCTTCTACTCTATCTAGGTAAAAACCAATATTTTGCTGCACACTAATTATGCAATTATTGGGTATACATTTTTGTGTTTTCATATACACATTTGTTTGCGGTTGGTTTGGTTCCTTCATATTTGATGTTTAGCTCATATACAAAATGAAATAATAGGGCTAAGAAATTAAATTTGTAATGCTAATCATCTGTTTGTAAAATTTCCTGAATGATGTTAACTAATTTGGATAGCACACATTCTCATTACACATAATATAGCATTCAGTTTGCAGTTTATGAGTCAAGTGTTCATACATAATGTAGTTTATTATTTCAGTTTGCAGCTTATAATTGTTTGATTATATTGTGTTATTTGAAGGGATAAAATCAATGCTACTATGTCTTATGTAGGAAAAAAAATTACATTTCAGCTTCTAATTTTTTTTCCTGACAAAGATGTTACATGAACCAAGTCAGAACAAAGTCAGAACAAACTTTCTCAAGGTTTTTTCACATTTTTTGATGACAGAGTGATTCTGATTTTGTGCTCTTGCTCCTGTGGCTCTTCCAGCCCAGGTTTTGTTGTCTTAACCGCCTTATAAGTCATAACTAGAGGCTATTTACTTCCGAATATAGGATTATTCAATCAAGCCTGCAATTTGTTCATTTCAGTTTGCTGTTTATTAATATATCCTTTTGTTTCAGTTTGCACCTTATTAATAATGTAATTTGTACATTATTGATATTTCAGTTTGTTCTTTATTGTTTTGAATTTCAGTTTATTTAATCAAGGCTGCAATATGTTCATTTCAGTTTGAACATGGTAATTCTTAATTTGATATTCAAATTCATCCACTGTATCTTAATTATAGTCTATATCTTAATTATAGTCTATGAGTCTATCAAGCGTTTTGAGTGACCATTTTGGTTCAAACAGCACGATATAGTTTGATAACTGAATGATGTTATTGTATCCACTTCTATTCCAATTTCTTTTTCTGTATTTCATCTATTTCTTGTTTCGCTGAAGAACAAATCAATTAATTATCTATATTTCTGTTTCTTTTCCGATTTCATCACCCTATTGTCAACTCTCCTCTCTATTTTTAATTTACTCACTTTCTTCCAAAACCTTTTATTCTGTTTTGTTTGTTTTGTTTTAAAAAAAATCACTGCAGGATCTGTTACTCTGTTTTTTGTTTGATTTTGATTGGCATATACTAGGAATTAATATGAATAGAACTATGAGATTGTTACTTGGCTTGAAATTTCTATATTCAAAATTTTGATTTTGATGCTAGATTTGATAATGATGCTCATTGGTACAGAACAATCCAGCGAAGATAAAGGAACGCAGCTACCCTGCCGCCGTGATGATCTGCGAAGACGGATGAACACGCAAGAAGCTCCTCCACCGCCACTCGATGGATGACCCGCGAAGATAGACGACGCACAAGACGTTCTGCCGCCGCCGCTCTCCATGGATGACCCGAGAAGATAGAGGAACATGCACGATGCTCTGCCTCCGCCGCCGGTCTCCATGGATGACCCTCCCTTACATCATTAGCCGCTGGTGATCAATCACCTGAGATTAACGCCTCTGAAGCCACATCTCGGTAAAAACACATTTCCTTGCTATATTATATACGGAGTATATACTACATATTTAATATTTTCTTGGATTCTACTTATGTACTTTCTTCTTCTTGTTGTGTGTGTCCATTTGCTAAATTTTAGATGAAATTCAAGAAGTTTAGTTTTGAGCTTTTTATTTTTTTACTTGCCTATAAGATGTATGTAAAAATGTCTTTAATTTTCAAATGAACGTGGTTTCAAAATCTCATTCTTGTAGGATTAAGCTAGGAAGAAGAACAATTATTCAGCAATCTTCACTAATGTGATTCTTTTACCTTCGTAATTATATATAATAACCACACAATAATAATACATTTCTTTAGCCATTTAACTTTCCTTACTGTCCATCTTATATTTTTGAATGCAGCGATTAGTTATGACACTGACTCAGCTTCGGTAGGTATGAACTATGAGATTGTTACTTGGCATATACCAGGGCTCCTAACTTCCTAACCAAGAGAGAGCCTTAAGGCCTAAGGCCCAAAAAACTGCCCACCCACCCCTGTTCTTATGATTAGTATGCTTTTTTGGAATATCTTTGGGATTGGGAACACCCAATCCACTAACAGGTTAAACCTTCTTTGTAAAACTTATCATATCAATTCTCTTGCTATAATTGAACCTAAGACTAATTCCAGTAATCTGCATTCTAAAATGATCAATCTGGGCTTTTCAAACTCTTTTGCCCATTCTCTCAATAAAATTTGGGTACTTTGGGACCGTTCCTACACTGTTAACATTATTTCTGATCTCTCTCAGTGTGTTAATCTTTCTGTTACTAATGTCCATATGAATCAAACCATTTATATCTCTGTGGTTTATGGTGCTAATAGCAAAATTACTAGAAGAACCTTGTGGATGAACTGTCTAATTTCAGAAACAACATTGGGAATCAACCTTGGATCCTGGGAGGTGATTTCAATGTTATTAGAAACATGAATGAGTACAAAGGTAAAAGTGTCATGAATACTAGTGACATGGAGGAGTTTAATGATTTCATTTTTGCTAATAGTCTGTCTGACCTTAACTTTCAGGGTACTCCCTTCACTTGGATGGGGAATAGGATGAATGGTCTGGTGTTTAAAAAATTGGATCGAGTTATGGCTTCTAATGAGTTATTTCAACTCAACAGGAACCTAACTCTTAAAAAAATAAATAAGTTTGTTTCTGATCATAATCCCCTGCTTCTTCAAGAAAATCCTGTCCCTAACTCTGGCCCCAAAAGCTTTAGATTTTAGCATATGTGGATTAAACATCACTCTTTTCTTGAAACTGTTAGAGCTTCTTGGGATTCTCGTTGTGATGGTTATGGCATGTGGCTTTTTTCTAAAAACTTAAAAGGCTTAAAAGTGAGCTTCATGACATTTTTGGAAATAGTTTTAATCAACGGTCTGAAGCTGAAACCCAAATTGAGATTCTTGAAAATAGGACCTCTGATTACCTTACCTTGAAACATGCTCAGGCTAGATACATACAAGCCTCAACCGACATTATTTCTTTTTATAGGCAGAAGGCTAAAGTGAAATGGCTAAAGGATGGCGATGCAAACACAAGTTTTTTCCATCACTCCTTAAAAGCCAAACATCAAAAACTCAGTATTCATAAAATTAAACTGGAGAGTAGTTCTTGGATTTAGAATAATGATGATATCAGTAGTGCTGCTATTACTTTCTTTACTGGACTTCTTACTGCCAATGTTGCTGCTACTGACTCTCTTGACCCTTGCAGTTACCATAGCAATATCACTCCAGTTATTACTACTGCTGATAACGAGAATCTCATGGGACCAATTACTACAAAGGATCTCAGAAAAGTTGTCTTTGGTCTGGACAAAAACAGTGCCCCTGGCAGTGATGGTTATGATGGTTTGTTTTATCAATACGCTTATGATATTATTGAGCATGACTTGTTTATTGCTATGAGTGAGTTTTTTCTGTGGAGTTCCTATTCCTAAATCTATAGTTTCAGCTATTATGTTGATTCGTATAAGTTAGTGATGGCCTTTTATTTGTGTTTATATAAGCAACTAAATTAATCACTGTTTTAATGAGGACATCATGATTATCATGAAGCTTTATTTTCAAGTGGTGCAACTTTTTTCCTTTTCTGTTGAACATGAGGTGCATGTCTATCAAGAGACGGGCGTCTGCTCTCACAGGGTAAAGGAGAACAATGGAGACTAAGCCGTTGAAAATGTCATGTAGAGTTGGCCTGGTCTCGTTTCTGCTCGTGGATGAACAAATAGTAAATCACAATGCTTTTGTTTGAAGTTGTCAATAGTAAGTTAGTAGTAATCTAGAGTTGGCCAGTGATCTTGCTACAATAAAGTAGTTATTGTACTAAATACTTCTTTGTGTTGTGTGTTGCTATGTTATTTACTTTTGATTTATGTATTTCGGTTGTGCAAATGATTCTATTGTTCTTTTTGTTTTGAATTAATAAATGTAAAGAATTGGGCTAGGGGTTGCATACATATTTCTCATTAATTTGTAGACAATATATATTTTTAGTATGAATTAGAAATTTTATTATGTAGCAAATTTAAATAAAAACATTACATTTTGAAATATAAAATCACTTATATATATAAGTGACAGAAAATGCGATTATTTTTTTTTTAAAAAAATGACTTTCTATAACGGTTGGTGGTTTAACCCATATAAAAACGATTATATATGGGGTATTACTGAACTGACACGGAAAACATTCTATAACGGTTAAATTCGTAACCGTTATAAAATACATTCTATAACGGGTACGACTACCCGACACGAAAAGTGCCCGACTTTCTATGTCGTTGGCTTCTATGTCGTTACGGGAACCGACATAAAAAGTGATTTTTAACCCATATAAAAAGTGTTTTATACACTAGTGCATGTTTCGCTTTCAAATGAAATAACTTCAAAACCGCAGACAGCTTGATAAAAGTAGAGGTAGAATACAAAGGTATTCTGACGGCATCAACCATACTTTCATATGATTTTGGTTTTTGTTCAAAATTATCATGTACATCCTTCAAAAACTCATCCATGTGATCATCATTGAAATCATCATCCCCATTATTTTCATTGTTCCAATTTAAGTTGGTGGTAGTATCGGGGGCTTTGCGCTTTAAATTACTAGCGGCGGTTCGCGGAACAACATTCTCACCATCCTGGAAAGTCTCTCCATGTAAAGTCCAAATGATGTAATTTTCTCTAAAGCCTCTCTCAAACAGATGTTGAAGTATAACATTGGTGTCACTCTCTCTTCTCAAGTTCCGGCACTTTAAACAAGGACATAAAATTCCTTTATGTCCATGTTGTTTCTGGTGTGTAACGGCAGCTTTGATGAACCCATTCGCACCAATGAAAAACTCAGACGTGTCTCGACGTCCATACATCCAAGAACGATCCATTTTGAACGAAATTCTACATTTGTCCAATAATCATATATCATATAATGTGCATATAAACATTTCATGAGCCGAAGTCTTATATTCAGGGAGATTAGTTGAATTTATGGAATACTTGTTGAAGTGTAAAAATAATAAATACAGAATGCTATGTCATCTTTGTAGGATGTCGGGACATGAGGTAGGCACTAAAATCTTAAAAAAGCTTTTATATTGATAAAGGTAGTGAGAAAAGGGGTACAATTTCAAAAAGGATGCCCGGAATGCCGTCAAAGTGCCGTTCTTTTATATTCAGAGTCTTTTTTGTAATCAGATAAGCGTTCAGGTCACATTTTCTTCTCTTTTTCTTTTCACATTAAAAAAACAAAAAGAAATACACACAATAATGTCATAATACAATAAATAATTACACATACTATAATCAAATAAAATACATTGTTAACCATGTCAAATAAGCAATTTTTGAATATGCTTCCACCACCAGATTTATTTGTTTGAGCAAAGTATAAAAGGAAGAAGAGGAAGAAAGAAGAAAACATAAAAGAATGGAAACTTAAGCAAGCCTCTATCAGTGAAAATGGTGTAATGGGAAGATAATAGAAAGAAAAATGTGTTTCTAAAGTGAATAACTACTTCACTTGTAAAGGCATTATGTTCTCCAGTCCTTGATCATTTATGTTGTAAAGGCACAAACTACTTCAGTTTGATGGTATTCAAAATGGAAATACAATGAACATTGTACTGATGCCTAGCAGTTTTCTAACTGAATGCTAATGAACTGTTCTGTGCTTAACAGTTTAAGTCTTGTAATTCAATAATCACATGAATGTAAACATATTTTACATTTCTCAATCACCAGCTATAATTTAAAAAACAACAGACTACATAACAATTTACAGGAAGTTACTGAGTATACGCAACCTGATTTGTCGGCACAACATCAGACACATATCTGACTGCCATTCGCAATATCAACATAATCAACCCCAAATTTCACACTGAAGCAGCAACAAGGAACCAGCATAAATTTCAAAGAACTTTGTTAAGTCTCCTTTCAGGGTGTTTGAAAGTTTTCAGTTTTCGTTCTTAAAAACTAAAAACCAGATTTTGCAAACAAGGAAAAAATGGGTTTCAATTTTCTTTTGGCAGTTTTTAAAATTAACTTATAATTATAATTACACTCATAGTCTTAATTTGGATTACTATTTGTAAAACTAATCGTGCCATGCGCCATATAGGGAGGTGATTTAATTTCACTTCATACATAACATAAGCGAAATTTAATGCCATTAATTTTTATTAGTTTCAATTTTTATCATAGAATCATTTTCAATAATGAATTTCTAAAAACAATCATTAAATAATTTTTTAAAATAAACAAGTTCATGAATTGTTTTGCTTATGTCATACATTACATCGTGTAGGGTGCCTTTGACTCTTGAAGAGTTTTATAAGACATATAAAACCATACCTTATCTTCAACCTCTTTTCAAATTAAACTAATCGCAATATTCATAATCAAACAACTTCATCAATAAATATGGGAACAATGAATATCATTGGAAATATACTTTAATCAAAATACCTTTATCAATGTTAAATGTAATTCCATTAAAAATAAAGGAAGTCTAAACATGGGAACAATGGATATCATTGGAAATATACTTTAATCCGAAAAACATTCAAACTAAAATCAAATAATATTGAAATCAACCAAAATATACCAAAAAATTAATTGATAAATGAACTGACCTTTATGCGATGCTGGCCGGAGCAGTCCACGCCGAGCCGGAACAGTCCACGCCGAGCCGGAATAGTCCACGCCGAGCCGTAGCCGTCGACGACTTGCCGGAGCAGTTGCAGCCGAGCGACCAGCGGATGCACGGAGGCGGACAGACGGTGGGAGGCAGACAGACTACGTCGGCTGCTCGTCACGCCTGAGATCGTCGTCCTTAGCCCGCAGCTTGTTCCAATCAATCTCCTCGAACGGACGGCGGTGGCGGCGCTAGCAGATGCACGGAGGCGGACAGACGGTGGGACGCTAGCACGCTTGAGATCGTCGTCCTTAGGCCGCAGCTTGTTCCAATCGATCGAGCGCCGCTTAGCTAGCTAGGGTTACAGAAAGCGCCGCACGCTTGGGCTGAAAATTAAAAAAAAAAAATTGATCATTAGAGGCGCTTATGTAAGGAAAGCGCCGCACGTTTGTGCGAAATAAAAAAACGTAATTAGAGGCGTTTCATGTCAAGAAGCGCCGCACGCCAGTGTATTCAAAAAAAAAAATCGGAAAATATTGGAGGAGTTTCTTGCCCAGAAGCGCCGCACGCCAGTTTATTAAAAAAAAAAAAAAATCGGAAACATATTGGAGGCGTTTCTTGTCCAGAAGCGCCGCACGCCTTGGTAAAAATTAAAAAAAAAAATATTCGTTTAACGGAGGCGCTTGCGCTGAAAAGCGCCTCAAACAAAGCGCCTCCGTTTGACGTTTTTCCACTAGTGATGGTTAGAGTCCATGATACCATCAATCATCATTACCATTTTATTAAAGTAATCTTTTGGAATGGAGTAAAACATAAGGCAGTGACTATTTAAATGGTATTCCGTACTTTTTTGTAAACCAAAGCTAGCAAGATTATGGTCAAAAAAATCTAGCTATATAAAGATCCAGTCTAAAATTTTTAATAAAGTTATTCCTTATGACTAATTCCATAGGTTTTGGTTAGAGACTTGGAGTTTGTTTGAATATTTCTGTATGTGCGATAAACGTACTGGTGACTGGTGGACCCATCTTGTGTCCCACGAGTCCCGAGACCTACAGATTTCTAAAAAATATTAGTTGAATTTGTCTACTTTGACTACATTTTTTTATTATTGTTAGTGAATTATTATTTTTTGAAAAATATTGTTGAATTTGTCTCATTACAAAGTTTCATAATTTGATTTTTGAAATATTTTTTACTAATAGAGAATTAAAATATCTTTCACCCGCACGGGTAGCTCAGTTGGTTCAGTGGTGGTAAATTTGGAACAATGACCAAGGTTCGAAACCCGCAACGGCTGTGTGGAGGTTATAGCTCCTGCATGCTGGGCTGGGTGTCTGGTGCACACGAGTATAAGATCTATCATAATTGAGCCGACTGAGTCACCGTGATTTACATCCTCCCAAAAACTCTATCAAGTTAGGGTGTGGGGCTCCTAGGGTGGGAGATTCCACCTTTTGGAACAACAACGGAACGTATCAGATGAGTGGTCAAGCGTGCTTCCATAAAGCCCTCCATCTCCCTGAGTTTTAGACTTTTAGGTGTCGAATCTCTTCAACTATAATTTTTATCAAAGAAATCAAGTAGTTGTCCTTTTCTTTTTTTGTTTGAAAGAAAGCAGCTGTCTTTTTAGTTAGCAGATTTTTTGTTTCTTATTTTGCTAGCACCAAACTTAGTTACTAACGATTTTTTGCCCACATTATTTTCATGGTATCAGATTGGGATTACAAATCCTACCTATCACTAAGAAATTACGAAGTATTATAAATAATGACATTTGTGTTATATACATGCATACTCAATGTTAGTTGTCTTTTTAGTTAGGAGAATTTTTGTTTCTTTTTTTGCTACCACCAAACTAATTTCGAGTGTTGTTAGCATATTATACTAAATATAATACACTACAAAAAAACACAGGATAGACACGGATTTGGCACGGATTTGTCAATGATTTCGTGTCAAATAGCTCGTGCCAAACTATTTTGGGCACGGAGTTGGCATATCCCTGCCAAAATCCTTGCCAATTTTGGAAAATCCCTACCAAAGAACTCTGTCAATTTCGTGTTTTTTTTTGTAGTGATAGACTCTTTTTACAAAAATACTTTAAAACGGGTTGGTCTCGGTACTAATTTTTTCAAATTCTAATACACGTTTCCAAAATTAAAACCTGTATTAACCGACCGGTACCTGTTTACCAACCCCTAAGTAGTATGGAACTATGGAACATGATTCATGCATGAGGACATGACCACTATGGTGTGGCCAATTAACACGCTTCGCTTAATCATTTTTATTAGGAAAAAATGATACTAATAATCTTAATTATTTCTGATACGTTCATAATATTCGGAATTATCAATTATTTCAAAATAATTCTAACTTTAGGGACCTTCCTCCAATCCTGATCACATGTGATCGGGTACCTGTTTAACCAATTAAATAAAAAGTATCCGAGCGTAACAATCCAAACTATGCTCTATCGACTTTTATTAGACTATTCAAGTGTTACCAAGCAATTCTGACGGTATCTCAAATAATTTCACAAATAAATTTTAATATCTGGAAGTTTTTCAAAAGTGTGCAGTTTGCTCTAAATATACGTCGCACCTTTTTTTGCTTTATGTATGTGCTTAGTATAAAGACTTGAAAATGTTTCCTTTCATTATATCATATAAGTATTTCAATGTTCTTATAATAAATGTGTCCTACACTCTTACATTAATATTCCAATATATATTACACCATACATAAAAATGAAGATTCTTTTATCCCATGCATCGCACGGATACGATACTAGTATGAAATAAAATGTAATATATTTTTTAAAGCATGAATACTTTTAGATTTAGTTAAATACATAAACAGCTTGGGTATTGAATTGTTTTATTCAATAGGTTTTGTACAATATTTAAGGGAAAAGTAATACTACGTAGATGTAATGAGTACCGTGGAAAAGTGGGAGAGAATGTACAAAGTACGAAGTATATAATCGAAGAGAAAGTTTACCAAAAAGGGAAAATATATAGCGCGTTTCTGTTTTTTGACTTATCAGCTTATTAACTAAAATTTTAACCAAACATGTAACTTTTGATTTCGCGTGCTGAAATGTGTAATAATAAGAAAAAGTAAGTGAAAGTTACTTTTTTTGGTGTATCGACCGAAGTTACTGTAGATGTCCGTTTTAACTATTTTAACATATTTTTTATTTATTTTATTAATAAAATATATTTTAATTATTTTTCATAAATCAGTAGAATCAGACACTACAACCACTTAATGCAGAACTTCACAAATTTCAGCAGAATCAGCCGATTTCAGTGTTACCAAACATGCTCATAGTAAAACTTAAAATTCATCTAAAAAGGAAAGTCTAGCAATCAAACAAAAGAATACAAATTAAAGGGAGCATTATTACAAAATCCTAATTTTGAGGTTTTTATAATGTTTTTTACATTTTGTAAAATAATTGAATTGATGATTATGATTATATTAAAAGAACAAACATAATTCAAATTATTTAGGCAATACGTGTGGTTTCTATTAAAGTGACCTCCGACATGTTATACCTGGTCATGGATCATTACAAACGGACAAGACATATAGTTGGCAATATATAGAAACAATCAATAGTTGGAATTATTGTGAGCGGACAAATAGTGATTGAGATTATTATTTTATATTTTTTCTTTTCATTGTTGAAATTTCAGTATAATTATCTGTACCATAATATTATATAATCGAGTATTGATTAACCAAAATATTTTATCAACCACTCACCTGTTAACAAAAACACTATACAAAAATCAAATAGTTAAGAGTTAATTATGCATGTAGGACTAAAAGTCTGTCCGTTTGCACAAATAGGAAAAATAAATAAACTATGTTTCACAAGACTAATTATGTGCATCTTGGACAAATATACCGTTGTTGCTATAGAATTTTTTTAATTCATAATAAAATAATAAAAAATAATAAAAGTTTGTAAAAATATACTAAAAATTAATAAAAATATTTACCTAAAATATTCACCCGGCCCAACACCACCACCTCCGGTCATGGGGGAAAATGCCACATGCATTAGGAATGCCGTATTTATGGCAGATTCAATGAAATTTTTGGCATTCTCAAAGAGTAATTTTCCATTTTTTGGCATTTTCAGAAAGAAATTACATTTCTTACATCGGTCGGAGGTGGTGGTGCAGGGAGGCAGTACAGAAGGTGGGAAAGGCATCCATCTTTTTTATTTTTATGGATTTTTACTATTTTTTATTAATTTTCAAAAAACAATTTATCTTTTTTAATTTTTATTTTATAAATATTTTATTATTTTTTATTATTTGTCTACTAATTGTTTTTTTTACGAATTTATTATGAATTAAAACATTTAATTATGATTTTTGACTACCTTTTACTCATACTTAAAGGAGGGGTAAGAATGAAATGAAAAAACAGGTTTGTTTCCAATAGTAGTAATATGGTCCTATTTTTGAATAAAAACATAAGATGTCCTATTTTTTATTTTTGGCATAGGTTTACTCCTGTTTGGGGTATTTTCTGAATAACACAAAAATCATTTCTCTCTTACAATATAGGAAAATGCATTTCAAGTGACAAACCACCAAATAATATTTCAAAGCTCAACGATATACGAAAATGTATTTCAAGTGATAATCAAGCTAAGCATTGCAGCACAACTGGTTGTGAGATTACCGTGTTTAGTAAGAGGTCTCCAGTTTGAAACCCGCTAGACACATAGGGGTTTGAAACTCAATGGTTTGAGTTTCAGCTCTGATTACTCCAACCCCCAGCCCTCTCCAATAAAATATTTTAAATTATTTGTGATATACCAAATAAAATATATCATTTGTAAAACGATACATTATCATACGGAGTATAAAATATTTTTGAATAAGAATCAAATGAGCTATGATGACCCAGAAGTGTTCTTAGGGAGGGGCACTCTCGCATGAATGAGAATAGATCGGATCCGGTTGGGTGTGTCACTGGTCTATTTTGCCTAGTTAACTCGTGCAAATTATTACTTGTAAGCGAAAATAGAATATTCAATGTCGGATTCGAGCAATATACATCTAGGCGCGACCGAGCGCCCCAATTTTAGTCTAGCTACTATGTGCTCCGACTAATTAGTTTGACGTCTAGTTAGGAAGTAGATTAACATAAAAAGATATACACAATACATGTTTGTATATAATCTTTTAAATGTTATTAGTATTTAATACTCGGCACATACTATAACCTCCATTTCACTAGCCATTAGAAAGCACATGAAAATTTTTTTCCCGTATTTTAGACCACCATGCTATCCATTCCCGCAACGTGAGAGATTTACCGTTACCGGCGGATAATCACGGATGGAAACAGAGTATATTCCCGTTGTTCGGTTATGCGGGACAATAGTGCACTGATGTCTTTTCTGTGAACGTTCAAGAATATCTTTCCATATATTTTGCGGATATAGGAACCCAGCTTGCCGCCACATCTGACCGGCCCTACGTCGATCGGCAAATAGTTGGACAACTTTGTTATAAGTTGCCTTAACCAGCGCGGTGATTGGAAGTGTTCGACATCCCTTTAGAACGTTATTGAAGCTCTCGGAAAGATTTGTTGTGAGGATGCCGTAACGTCGTCCATCGTCGAAGCACAGTGCCCGATTTTCACGTGGAATAGCGTTCAAATACGTGAACGCATTCTCATTCGTAGCACGAATTTGAGACATTGTTTGGTAAAATTCACTCACCATGGGTGTACTCCCGGCCTGCCAACAGAGCTTTTTCAGTTCAGTGCTCCTGAATTTTGTCATGAAATTGCTTCTAATGTGTCGGAGGCAGAACCGCTTCGAAACTTGGGAGGTTTTCAATTGAGGTACT